ATAATAATAATAATATATAATCATACATATATTTATATGATATGTGACCCTGGAGCACAAAAGCAGTGTTAAGTCGCTGGGGTATATTTGTAGCAATAGCCAAAAATACATTGTTTGCGTCAAAATTATTGATTTTTCTTTTATGCCAAAAATCATTCGGATATTAAGTAAAGATCATGTTCCATGAAGATATTTTGTAAATTTCCTACTGTAAATATATCAAAACTTAATTTTTGATTAGTAATATGCATTGCTAAGAACTTAATTTGGACAACTTTAAAGGCGATTTAAAAAAAATAAAGTTTTTGCACCCTCAGATTCCAGATTTTCAAATAGTTGTATATCGGCCAAATATTGTCCGATCCTAACAAACATACAGCAATGGAAAGCTTAATTATTCAGCTTTCAGCAGATGTATAAATCTCAATTTCAAAAATGTACATATTGTAACATGTGCTCTGTTCTCTGTGTTGCATTGTGTTTTTGGTTTGGCCCCGTTTGACCTAGTTCATAAAATTGTTTACATTTTTTGACTGTTACATTAATGAGAATACATTAAGAATAATGGAAATTGCACAGAAAAGAGCTAAATTGCCATGAAAACAATGATAAGAATGTTAATGCTCCTAAAAATGCGTAATATAAAAAATGCACAATATGTATAATAATATGCAAATATGTAAAATAATAAAATATGCACAATACACTTTCTTATTTCTTCACAGATTTGGGGTGAAATATGACCCACTCTGTTAAATGGCAATGTCATGCAGATGATTGATTTGACTTGAGTGGTTCTGTATATAACAGCAGTTACATGACACCCCTTGTTCCACAAGACTATTAATACTTCAGAGCATAGCTAACATGACAACAATGATTATTCTGAGTGTTGCTGAAGCATGTCACCTGCATACAGTATGACATCAAGCCAGTATTATATCACTTTGATGAATATTGGAAAGAGAGATAGAGATGTTCCTGAGAAATCAAACTGGAATTAACATTTGGATGACTTCTCATGTGTCATTCATGCAATTCTTACAGGAACCATCTTATCACAGTTTAAACAGTTTACACAGTTTATATATAAACTTTACAGTATGCAATCAAAGTGTTATGTGATAGTTGATGTCAAATGTAGGTGACATGGTTCAATAACACTCATAATAATCATTATGCCCTGCCTCGTCCGTCTAGATTAGAAGAACAGGAGCTTCTGCCAAGCCCTACAAGTAAATACTTATAAAATCATATTTTCAACATTAAAAGTACAGATTGAACCATGCACAAATGCATTAACGCAAAGCAATTCAGACTTAAGAGTAATTAGAATGAGTATTTAATTATATTAAATGATATATAATTATTTCTTATTATATTTGTAATGATAAATAATTGTATATATTTATGACCTTGTTGTAACTAAAACTGACATAAAAATACATACACACACACACACTGGTATATTATTAGTAATATTATATATATAATATTACTAGTAATATTAGTATAATATTAATATTACCATATATAATCATTTTAAACAAATAGACATAAAAACAGAACTCATACAGACGATAAAAGTGCATAACAAACTTACTAAAACGTATGATTTAACATGTATTTGAGAATGTCTCAGCATTTGTCACCTTTTTTTCATTAATTTTTTTAGCAAATTCTTTATATTTGCTACATAGGCTTTTCTTTTGCTTTGACCTTGACACAAGCAGCAGGCCTCAAATGCATCAACTATTAAATAAGATCAAGCATGCATTATATGCGGTTGTAGTTACGTGCATCATTTCAGCACAGTGAAAACATGTTAGATTACCAGTAGTAAGCCACTTTCTCTCCCAGGTTCCTCTCATGCACATTTCGGTCAAGGACGTTGTAGCAGATGTTGGTTTTTGCTCCTTCCATGAACTTGATGTAAATGTTCCCCTTGTTGACGTCAAAGTTATACTGCAGCATCGGGCCTGACGGAGGCTTCTTCCAGTAAAACTCTTGAGCAACATCAGCCCAGAACTCTGCAATGCATGTTAAATGAACATGTTTACTGCATCTTACATTAGAGTGTCCCTCTCATTTATATGCATGCAATGTTTTATGATACCTTCAGGCTCCTCTGTAGACTTTTTGTATATGGCAAGATATGCATCAAAGTCTGGCACGTGTGCATCAGTGAACAGGCCATCGGATGGATGGTAGGTCTTCTCCGGCTCCTGAGGTCCTGGAATGACCCTGTTGGTGGAGTCTGAAACAGGAGACATCCGTCAATCCGTATGTTCTGTGTCAGGATAGATGTCAGTCAGTAGATGAAGCAGTTTATTGTGGCTGTGCATGTGGTGCCCACCCTTTCATCATGCCCAGTCTGCTCAGCACCGCCTCCACCAATCAGAGCGCTCCATTCAGCACTCCTACTTTTCCATTGGCTGAGCAGCTGCTCGGCTGCTGATCCCACTGCTGAAGGAGGCACAGCATGAGTCTGACGGATGATCTGCATGTTTTCTGAAACACACACACACACACACACACACACACACACACACACAAACAAACAAACAAACAAACAAGGGTCATAATGAGAACATATAATTGATTTAATATAAGGCTAGTTGTAATGTCATGCACAAACCCTACAAGAAGACATTTTAGGGGATAATTTTTACAATTTTAATTGAAGAAATTAAAATAATAAAGACACCCATACACTTAATTTTTGACTAAAAGAAGTTATTTACTTGTGAATAAATAATAATAATAATAATAAATAAATAACTATTTGGTTAAATAAATGAAGTCTTTGTGATTTTCATGACTCATCCACCCTCTATCCTAACTCTGGATTCTCCGGCCCACTCATGGAATTGGAATTTATGCCTACGCTGGGATTTCCTGGAAAAGTAGCCAGTTTCATTGACAAAGCAAAGCTCATTTACTGAACTTTCAAAACAAAGGAATTTCTACTAGACCAAAAACTAGTAGAACATATGCACAAATACTTAATTACAAATCTAGTACCTCAATAAGTATTATATTATATTGATTCTCTGCTATTGTATTTGGAAAGCACAATTTATTTTATGTATTTTTATTTGAAATAAACCCCAAATGTTAAACAGAACAATATTTAGTTACAGTCTTGCATGACCAACCGATTTAGCATTTAAGCTCAAGTTCTACAAGTGTGCATGCTGATTGTCTGTGTTATTTTTATCATGGCATGTCAAGAACACAAAATGTGAATCTGTATTTTCGTCTGCCGCTCGGTGATCCATTACACAGACTCAGCCCTAGAGCGTCCCTTGCGTAACCAGACCCGCTCAATCGAGCTCGCGTTACTTGATGTCCGCCATTGCTTGTGTTTAGTGTGACCGAGCGCATTGAGAAGATGTTTTTCTCTTCAACTCTGCGCTCTGCCGTGTCTAATGCGGTAGGTTTATTTTATATGTGTTATAATCGGAGTATTCATGAGGTGGCTGAAGGAATTGCATATGAATTATCATTTAAAGCGGCGTTGACATCTGTGCAAGGACATGAAGCTAATGAGCTAACAGCTAATAATGAGGCCTGATTGTGTTTATATAGACACTCTTTAAAACTGATGTATTTGAATAACTTATCATACAAAAATGATATTTTTTAGAAGTTGTTTCTATTCACCCAGACAGGTTGAATAATCAGTAAATGAACATGATTCAGTAAATAAATTATATGTATGTATATATATATATATTGTGTGAGAGAGAGATATTTCTATTTTGAATAAATGCTGTTCTTTTAAACTTTTTATTAATCAAAGAATCCTGAAAAAGTATCACCGCTACCAAAAAATATTAAGCAGCAAAACTGTTTCAAAAAAAGCATTTAATTATGATTTCTGAAGATCATGTGACACTGAACACTGGAGTAATGATGCTGAAAACTCAGCTTTGCATCACAGAAATAAATTATATTTTCAATTATATGAAAATAGAAAACCATAATTTGAAATTGCAATAATATTTCACAATATTACTGTTTTTTCTGTATTTCTGATCAAATAAATGCAGCCTTGATGAGCAGAATAGACTTCTTTAAAAAACATTACAAATCTTACTGATCCCAAACTTTTGAACGGCGGTGTATACATTGCAGTGACTAATGCAGCATACGCTATAAACTGTATACCCCTAAACAGAAAGCATTATAGAGCATAAGCACTGCATACTTAGTGCACAATATATTATATTGCATATTTGGTCAGTACATACAATATACAAAAAGGAATGTATTGGTTTAACAGTTTGCATAAATAAAAATAATTCTATTCTACACTTGTTGCATTTCTTTTGCAGGCGAGGCAAGTCCGCAGTTTGCACCAGACATCAGCTCGAGCTGGAGCAGGAGGAATCTTTGTGGTGAGACTTGACTTTTCATGTTTATTGCAGCCTATTGCACTGATATGCACGAGACACTTCATTAGGGCTGCACGATTAATCGAATGCAATTGTCATGCGCATTGTTAAAAAAGCCGGTTCTGTAATCAGCAGGAAATCATCATCACGTGCTTTCAGATGGAGCAGCATTTACTACACAGAGCCGTAGTTCACTGACAAGTTACGCACAAAAATCGCTTTCTGATTCTGAAATCGAAGAAATCGTTGGCGATAATGACAACTGTTTGCATAGCTTCTCAGTGAACTACGGCTCTGTGAAGTAAATGCTGCTCCATCTGAAAGCAGGTGAAAATACCACATTTAATAACATATTTTTACTCCAAACTCAGTCAAGTGTTTGAAATAAATCCTTCTGTGAGATGATGTGGCTTCTTACACAGAATAAGGCACGCAACATATTTCATAGTATTTATGCAGTGATAAAGGCATTGCATTATAAATATACTTTATTTTAATGAAAATTATAATAATAAAAACTCAGATAAACCGTATACTGCCGTAGTCGCGTGTTTATTAGTCACGTTGAATCAACAAAAGCAGTTTCTTCTGTTTATTCAGCTGCAGCGATAGACATTTTCTGGGTTTCTTCTGCGAGGCATATTTTGGAGTTTCAGCGTGAGAGCGCCCTCTGGCCTTTGGATGGAGATTTACTGCTGATCACAGAACCGTGCTTCACTGAAAGATACGCATGACAATCGCAGCTTCTGTCCAATCGCGATCTCGATTCCATTTTGATTTATCGTGCAGCCCTACACTTCATATTCAGCAATATTATCAGCGTGACGGCACTAATGAGAACAAAACTGAGCTGAATAATTACACTGTTGTTTTCTGTAGAGCTGTTTTATAGCTGAGTTTGTTTCATAATTGGCAAACTCTGCAGCGTTTACACTTGACTTGAGCTGAATTAATACACTATTGACTTTTTATAGTAGGATTAAGCTTGTTTCATAAACTTTACGGAGTTATTGAACTGAAATTAATCAACACTGAACTGATTTGAGTTGATAATGACACTGTTGTATTTTCAGAGCTGCTTTACACCTGAAATAGTTTTTGTTTTATAATTGAAGAACTTTGCGACAATAATACTGTGATGCTGCTGTAAACATCTGCGTTGTATAAAGAGTAGGGCTGGGTTTTGACACAAATTTCACGATTCAATTCTCATTCACAAGCTTGAGATTCGATTCAATATCGATTATTTTGGATATGTATCAGGTAGGCTACAGTACATGCCAAATTTTCTCAAGGAAAAAAAAAAATCTCTCAACTAATGCTGTAAAATATAGTTGGTCAGTTGGTACTACATTACTATAATATTGAAGGTTAAAATTAATGAAGTTTTTACAATAATAAAGTTACAGTTACATAATATTTCTACTTCAATTCGTTTTTTTAAAATATAAACATTTAAATGGTGGCTGTCATAAAAACTTGTTGGATTTATTCAAACATAAATATAAACTTTAAAAATTATAATGAATATGTTATATGGTGCATATATTAAGCAAAATACCCCTCTCAACAGTTTATTTTTATATCTGACTAATGAGTTTATGGTCACCGAATATGTTTTTCTGAGGTAAATGTGACGTTACGTGACATTGTTTACAAGCCGTTATATTGACGTCTTTGCGCGGCTGAAACACTGATTGAGCGATTATTTGAGACGGGATACGGATTGTAAAGTTGTACTCTTTATTTTAACTTGCCTTCGGATGTTTAGTCATGTTTATTTTGTGCTGAAACTGGTATTAATGTGGAGGAGATGATCAGTTTACGTGCGCTACACGCTGCTGCGTGCCTGTTGAACTGAGGCACTACAGCGATCTGTCACTCCACATTAAACAGCGCCAAAACGGCATTTATTGTTTGAATACTGCAATACAATGGACAGAATTTGAAATCTGAGACTTTTTCATATTAAAAGTACCAAAGCACAATGCTTATCGCGATATATTGGATGGGAAGTACCCTTCAATATTCCATCCATTAACTGAAAACAGGCTAGACTAATCAATTCTTGGGATTTAAAGCAGCACTATGTAACTTTTGGCACTCTAGCGGTTAATAAGCAGAACTGCACACATCCCGCATAAGAACATTCCAACCGGAGCTACTTCTCTAAGTTTATGTCTCTGGCGATTCACGCAGGTATGTGTTCCTCCGCAGCGGTGACGACCCACCAGCCTACAATAGTCCAAATATAAGTACTTATTATAAGTGTACCATAGTGATTCGGAATAAGACAAAAACGCGGTTTGGAAAATGAATTCATGATGTACTCGCTCATTATATACAGTGGGTACGGAAAGTATTCAGACCCCCTTAAATTTTTCACTCTTTGTTATATTGCAGCCATTTGCTAAAATCATTTAAGTTATTTTTTTTTCCTCATTAATGTACACACAGCACCCCATATTGACAGAAAAACACAGAATTGTTGACATTTTTGCAGATTTATTAAAAAAGAAAAACTGAAATATCACATTAAGCCGGGGCTTCCCCTCACGCTAGGCCGCTGTGTTTTTCATTGTGAAGGCGAAACTGCTTTGTTTGGTCTTCCAAAAGAAGACACGACTACAAAACAGTGGTTAAGTTGTATTTACAACACCTTTCCAGAACAGTTTAACCCAAATGTGTCCAGATGTGTGCAGCACATTTTATGGAGGACTGTTTACTGATCCTGGGAGAGTAACGTTAGACTAAAATGCCGGCAGTTCCAACAAATGCCTCGTTTGTAATGGGTTTTATTGGTTTTGTCTCGTCGCTCCAGCCGGGACAAGGCATCAACAGTATGGTGAAGGGCGTAATATTTCCGTCACACGCTTGAGGTATTCGGCCAATCACAACGCACCTCGCTTTTTCAGACCGATGAGCTTTGTAAAAATCGACGCGTTTCAGAAAGGTGGGGCATAGAGGAGAAACAATAATGTACAGTATGTGGAAAATAATGTGTTTTTTAACTTTAAACCACATAAACACATTTCATTTCACCAAATAATGTTCTTTTTAGCAGCATCATATGACCCCTTTAAGAATCGATATCGTTCCGTAAAAATGAGAATCGATTAATATCGAGACATCAATATTTTT